TGTGTGTGTGTGTCAAAGAGTGAGGCGACGAGCCGGTTACAGAGCCATATATTACAAACCGCAGCCTGACTACTGATCCCTACAAGTACTGGATGGGGAAGGAGTACAAGCTGGAGAATTTGCTTTAAAAAAATTTCTTTTTCAGAACATTATGCCATATTTTTTTAACAGGGCTCATTCACACAGGCATAGAAGAAATGCACGTGCAGACTTTCATGCGTAAAATACGCATTTTTGTAGACGCGTATATGAGCACATTCGCACCACTTGCATGTAATGCGTACATATTTTTCTAGCACTGTGTGCAATCCCTAAGCACCAGAAACTTCATGCGTGTTTGCATGCGTGTAAAAAATTCACTTTTTTCTGGCCCTGGATGCAGTTCTGTTCCTTTTTGTGAGTGCATGTGTACGCAGCACAGAAACACGGCCCCAGACTGCGGCATCACCAGGCTGGGTGTCACCGGGTGCACATGTCATTCTGTATACATGCGACTTCACGTGCAGTTCACTGCTGGCGGCCATCTTGGTGTTGGACGGCGGCAAGGAGAGGAGGGGACGTTCATCCGTCGGGATAAGGTATGCTGCCGGGTCACCCCCTCTCTTGTGCAGCTCTCGGCCCGTGCCTAAGTTTTCAGGGGGTGACACCCAAATCACTTACTCAGTCTGGTGTCACCCGGTGCAGTCCGCACCTCTCCTTGTAACCCCACTTTCCGCAGACGCAGCTGTGTGTTTGCATGTGCTGCATTCAGATTCGTACAGAAATAAGTGCTGTGCGCATCTGTACGCAGTGTTTTTAACACATTTTTAATGTGAAGGAGCCCTAAATGGGGTCCAATCGATGAGCGTTTTCGACCGTGGTGAATAAAAAAATAGAAGGAGCAGCATAGAAATGTTTCTCGAACAAACAGAATTCTAACAGTGAATGTGGTTTCATTCAGGAAACTCCGTTCATTCAAATATCAAAGGGAATGTCAAATGATATTCTACAAGTCTCTGATATATATATTTTTTTTTTTTAAAGCCCGTGGAGCGTGTTCGAAAACGAATCCCCTGTGAACAAAAAAAGTGCATCGTGAAATCACAACACACAAAAACATGCACGAGGGTGCTATTGGTCCTCTCTAGTGAGAAGGGCCACAATGTTCCTGATCCCTCAAGGCTCCTGACAGGGACAAGAACGACTCAGGTCCACCAACCCGAAGGCCGACGGACCCCGATCCTCTGGGACCTGCCGAAACAGGTCCACCAAGTACTAGGTTGGGAGCTCCCCCCGAAGGGAGACCCCCAGGTGGGAGGAGGCAGAGGGCCCCATGTGTAGGTCACAGAACCTCCTCCCAAACGTCAGGAAAGGTGCCTGCACCCTCGGTCATCTGTGAGAGTCAAAAAGTGCCAATTGTGCATAAAAAAGTGCATAAATAATCTAGTGCCAGTGCACAACGCTGACAGGCCTTAGGGGCTGGAGTGCAAAAATATTGCCCCGGACTAGCCATAAGGCCTGCCCAAAAGGCGTAGTGCAGAAAAAAGCACTGCTGTATGTGCCGTGACCAAGTGCACAGTGAATCACTTGTGGGGTTCCACACCCTAGTGATTTTCTGGCACCCCTTGGATGCCTACTGCAGGAGGCACAGCACCACGGGCCTCTGCCACTCCCCAGCCCACCGGCCAGACCAATGCCTCTCCATCCCTACCAGAAGGCATTACCACCGGCGAATTTCCTACCTACAACTGGGGACAAGCCCCGCATAACCGGACCAGAATCAACCCAGGAGGAAAGGAAACCCCTCCGACACCCACCAATTACACTGGTGAATACTAAGCCACCATTCTCCCCGGACTAGAGGTGGTGTTGTTCTTCCTCCGGCAACAGATACTACACTTGATCTTAGCCAAAAGGCCGAGAAGCGATGCTAAAGTCCCTGATGCCGTAATCGAATGTTCTGATGAGATGCTTTGTATGAATGTTCTTATGAAAATCTGCCAGTGTATGATCAGCTTTAGGGTCCATTCACACATACTGCGGTTGACCTGCGTTGTACCTCCCGCACCGGATCAGTGCAGGACACCACAAGGACACGGAGAACAATTGTTCCCGCCACAACGCGGGTATGATGGAGAGTGCACTGCGATAACATGCAAACACGATGCATCTTATGGCAGCACACTGGATGTCACCACACAGCAGCACAGTGCACCACTCTGGCATGCAGGGACCTGAATAGAGTGTACACATTGTACACTACTCATAAAGTTAAAATTAAAAAAACATTTAAACAGTGACAGCTCCAGCAGTGCTCTTAGTATTGGAAAACACACAATGCACAAGATTAGTATTGTCTGGCCACAGGCATCCAGACCAGAATCCTAGGGGTAGGTTGTGTCGGAATGGTCACAAAGGCCCCCATTTGTTATGCCGTGCATGGTATTAAGGCAAACATGCCAAAAATAGGCATGCACTATTTTCTGTACCACAGCACACTACAACGCACCATAGTGCATTACTGTGCGTTGCAACTCATCAGTTGGCAAGTGGGCCTCCTCCTCAGGCAGTAGTGGCGATGGATGGTGAGGTACGTACGTCGGTGCGATGCTGTGCTATTCATTATAAATGGCGTCCAACGCACATTACCATGCATCACCACTGACCGAGGAAGAGACCCCCCCAGGGGCCTAGAAACATCACATCCAGTATAGTGATGATATATAACCTTTGATGTCTACTGTGACGGCTCTGCCTGTCATTTCACCATAGCACCTGCTATGGTCTATTGCTGTATGGAGTGCAGTGGACAATCTGCTATTTTCTCCTATCAGCATGCTCCTTGCACTGCAATACACTTAATCCTTGTGCTGCTTCTCCCTCCCCCTCTCTGACCTCTGGTGTAAAAAGACTGGAAGAGGATGATACCAAGAAAAATCCAGTACATACATTGCTTGCATTTAAAAAAAATACATTTGATATTGTATTATTAAATACAGAGCTGCATTAATATGTGTCACTTATACACTATATTACCAAAAGTATTGGGACGCCTGCCTTTACACGCACATGAACTTTAATGCCATCCCAGTCGTCCGTAGGGTTCAATATTGACTTGGCCGACCCTTTACAGCTACAACAGCTTCAACTATTCTGGAAAGGTTGTCCACAAGGTTTAGGAGTGTGTCTATGGGAATGTTGTGCAATAAAGTAGTCTGCATCAAAGCACCACATCATTAGCCACCTATTGCCAATACATTAAGGCAATCCCCTTTATTAAAAAAAAATGTCAAGCAGGCCGAAATTGAGAGGCAGAAGGTTTGCACTTGGAAGTAGTAGGGAACGAGCAGGTTCTGCAGGACAAATCAGTGTTTGGGCTGTACCAACTAGAGTCAGGGCACGTCTGCCTTTCCTATCTTAGAGTGCCCGTACTATACAGCCGCAGCACATGCAGGAGGTAGTGAAGTGGCTGACAAAGTCTTTCTGTTCTTACTCCTTCAAGACACAGAACAGCCACTCGGCTGCAAGTGCTGCTAATGCACTCGTTTCCTCCTCCTCCTCCTCCATTGCCAATCCTGCCAAAGCCCCACAAACTGGCTATGAGGGGTTGGATAAATTAGAGGACATTGCTATCCCAAGCTCGTCTACAGAGCTCTGCAGTGTAGGCCTTTTTTAATATATTTGCTGCTAAAGCAAAAGAAAAAAAAGACCCCTTATTACCCCCATGCACAGCATCTTAATGCCAGCTTGGCAAAACTGCTGGCTTTGCAGCTTCTCCCATTCCAGCTTGCAAAATCACCCCTTTATGCGAGTTAATGGCCTGTGCTACACCTTAGTGGCAGGTACCCATCTGCCGTTATTTTGCCCAGAAGACAATTTCTGCCTTCCATCAGCATGGGAAATGCAATTAGGGAGCAGAAATAATATGAGGAAGGGGTTTGGGGTGCTGGCAGAGAGGCAGACATGGGGAATGAGGAAGAAGACCTTCAGCCATAGGCTGTTTACCCTTCCACAATGCTGGGTGAAGGGCTGGCAGCAGCAAATGGAGGAGAGAAATTTTACGACCAGCTGGAAGGATAAGCAGGAGCAAAAAGTTAGGGACAGGCTCCTATGGTCATAGGCTGCATGCCCTTCCCCAAATCTTCCTTCAGCAGACGAGCATATGAAGAAAGTAGCCTGGAGGCTTTACCTATGCATTTTTCTATTATATACAAGTTTACAAAGTTTTTCCTTGCAAGGCTGTCCCTGCAGCCGCACCGGCTGCACCAGTGTTAGTTCCACCCCTGGGAAGGATCCTCTCTAAGGAGTTTTACTCATTCTGACATGGTTTGACAAAGCAGAGTTAACGCCTCCTATCAATTAAGTCCCTAAATGTAAATATGCCTTAACCGTTCTAATTGTGTCTTAGCTAACATGGATCACTGGAGCGTCCACACTGGGCACGAATCACCTATCTCTGTATTCCTTCTCAAAGGGGAAATGCCTGTCACATACTTAGGTCCCAACAGAATCAACCCTACAGAGTATGTCTAACCCACATATAGGAACAGCGGGTTTAGCCAAAAGGTATTTGGATCTGTAGGACCTCTAAAGGACCCAATATCAATAACAGCAAGATGATC